AGAAAGAAAGAAAGAAAGAAAGAAAGAGAGCAGGGGACCCTAGTAGAGCGCCTTTTGCGCGTTTTGAGGCTTGCAGTCTTCTCATGGGTCAGCCATGTTAGTTGCACTTGATCTAGCACGAACAGAGGACACATCTTGAGAAAACAAGGGAAACACAAATTGAGGACAACCAAACAAAAAGCAAGAAAAACTCGAGAAAACCCAAAACCCCCCCGAAGAAAAGCACATGGTTTAGAATCTCTTTGCAGCACAACCCATGTTGAAACAGTTCTGGAAACTTACTTTTTTTTCTCCGAGCTTTTTTTGTTCTTTTTGGTTTTCCTCGAGTTCTTGTTAGCTTCTCCTTTTTTAAACTTTATTCTATGTATGTGATGGGTCCTCATTTGTTCTTGGCTGTTGTGTTTATTCAGTTGCACTTCTCTCGTGAGCAGACGAATCGACGACTTCTCATGTCATGAGTCCCGATACGCTGGAAATCAGAGGCGCGGCGGTCGGCTTGGAACAGAACACATACCGAGGAAACATCTGGAGAAAACAAGAAAACAACAAGAAGCCTCGAGAAAACCCAAAAACAAAAACAATCACATAACAATGGCTTAGACACTCTTTGGTGCACAGCCCATACTCAAAGAATCCTGGAACCATGGTTCTTTTGTTTTTCTTGTTTTTGTTGGTTTTCCCGCGGTTTTTTGTTTTGCTTGGTTTCTTCGAGGTGCTTTTGTTGTGTGTTTGGTTTGCTCGAGCTGTTCTTTGGTTTTCCCGTTTTCTCGAGTTTTTTTTGTTTTTTGTGTCTAAGATGGGTCCACGTCACGTCTGTTCTCGGGTTTGTGTTTTGTTTGTCTACGCAAATTGGAAGGCATTACCAGCGTGTTGGTCTTTCCTTATTAGATTCTACTTAATTTCCAATGGAATTCTGCTTTTTGTCCCCATTTCAAATTCAATTCGCAATACGAACTCTAACTAATTCCTCTTAATCATCCAATTAAGTGTAAGAAGTCTGTTTAAACTAACTAGAAGAAACAACCAGCTTGTCTATCCCAGCCACATGGTTTTTACATTTTGCTTAAATCTAATCAACATTCTAGAGAAGGGGAATTCCTATCTACAGATATACGATTCCCCCTTTGTAGTTGAGACACTCAGGAGAAGCAACCAGCTTGTAACTCCTTACTAGATTCTAGTTCTCTTACTTTAACAGTCTAATTGGTGTTGCAAAAGGAGCTCCTATTTAGACTTGGAAGAACATTCTGTGTAAATTCTAATTCAAACTATGAGTGCTGATTAAACTTTAATTGAACTCCGGTGTGCAAATATAAATTCCGATTTAGCATCTGAGTTAGTATAAGAGTTCTAATCACACTATAATGGAAATCCTGCTTGGAAGCGAAGTACAACTTAGTATCTAAGTCAAAATGACAATTTGAAGCGAGTTCTAACCAATTGACTTACAGCCTTGCAATAAAACTTGCAAGGCGATTAGAATATAATTTGCCATTTCCAATCGGTTTTTAACGGTTGTTCACTCCTGTTGGGGGGCTTCAGAATTAGACGAAACACCAAGCTCGGTTTCCTTCTGAGTTTCTTTATAGATCCCAATTTGAATCCTACTTGAGGAAGCCCTATGATAGTTCTAGTTCAACATGCCGCCATTTTTGTTGAGTTCTAACTAAAATATGACTTAAAACTTAGAGCGTGGCAATTTAAGGCTTGTAAACCATTAGAGCTGAAATCGCATTGTCCTTGCGCTTCTGGTGGTTCAATTCTGTTTTAAGGGGCAGGCAAATCAGCAGAAACAACAAACTGGCTTTCCAGATACTGGAATCGTTTGGAACTTTCTAATTCAACTCTAATGCCACACAGGAATGACAGAAACATGCTAAGATAATTGCAGCTACTCTCTCTGGCTTGAATGAGCAGCAGCAACTAGCAGCATGTTACAATAATCGAAAGTATAGGACTCTGTTGACTGATTCAGAAATCGCAGTTACAAACACTCTTCAGCAAAGCAAGCGCACAACTTGCTCAAGATATCTAACGTTAAAATCACAAAAAGTGCACTACCACAGTCCCTATTCTTGGAGGTGATTTGCACCCAAAGCGACTCGACCTGATCTGACCATTGTTTTCCCTTTTTTGGCCCATTTTTAGTCTAGCATGTTCCCTGCCCTTCTTAGGCACCTCAATCTCGACCATGCAACTATGCCTGCATCTGCGCATTTGACTGGAACTCTATTCACCAAAAACGCTTTCAGGCGCTTTAAATATCTTTTGGATCCAAGACTTAAGATTCAAGGTTCCCAGGACTCTAGGTCTTGAATCTTGAATCATCCCAAACGCTTTAAAACACTTTAAAGCACCTTTGGATTCAAGATTCAAGATTCCCAGGACTCTGATGGGGCCCCCAAAACGCTTTAAAGCGCTTTCATCCAGGTAGCTCATGGATTCAAGATTCAAGATCTAGAGCCCCGGGAGTCTTGAATCTTGAGTTGTAGATCCGAAAGCGTTTTAAAGCGCTTTAAAGCGTCTGCTTTGAGTCATTCCTGTTTGGTGGTGCACCTTAGTACTAGTTTGGCCTTGTGTGCGGTCAATACAGTTTATAGCTCAGCATATATTGACGTTGGACAATCAATTCTTTAGAACATGTTTTTGTTGACCTCCACACTATGAAACAATACTAGTGTTTTGCATGCTTCTTAGCAGGTTTTGTGCAGAACAGATTTCGTTCAGCGAAATTAGTCGTTTTAGCAGACAGCGTGGCATTGATCAAGGAATATCAGCTGTGAGCAGATGTTTGGGTATTGGCCAAGGCTTGTGAGGTGACAGACAATGGGAATGCAGATGAGTTGAGATGAGAGCTGGAAGATTCGTAGCAGGTATTGGCACAGGTTTTTAAGTTGACAGACAAATAGGATTTGCACATTAGTTGAGCTGAGAAATCAAAGATGCGTCGGCGAAAGAGGAATTGCCTACTTTATTGTTCATACCCTTGCAACGGTACTCTCACAGAGATGTTTACAGGTCAACTGAACCAGGAGCACATTAGTGATGAAGTCTATGAACAACAAAATTGTTATGGCTACACTTTAACAGCAAAACATGTGAGAACACCACGGTTTCTATGGAGATGTGCTATCGTTGACTGACATCTTTTGAACACTTCAGAGATGTATGTATGATGACGCTTTACCTAGCTTCGCAGTACAATGTACCTAGCTTTGCTTCTGATGCCATGTTCAAATTAACTTGTCAAAAACAGTTTTAAATGGGAGGCAAAGTCTTATTGAATCATCTGCGCACGTCTGCCACATTGGAAAATGTGCCCACTTTCGGACACATCCATTCAACATGACCTGAGTTTTTTTTCTTGGGTGGGGGGAGGGGGGGGGTTTGCGCAGGGTGTTGTTGCAGGGCGACGGTGGCGAGCGTGACTTGGGGCAGCTGTTGTGGCAGGGTGATGGTGCACGGCGCGTTAAGCACGCCTTCAGACTCTGAAGGTGAATTTGTGCTACTTGGTAGAATCCAAGAACACCCCTCTTCCCGGAAAAGGTGCTCCATTTTCCATTTGTTCCCATTACCTAGCGCCATGCTGCGGCAAACAGGGTTTGGGTTGCAAGAGAACCTTTTGGAAGATAAAATGATGACCACGGTCAAACAATCTAGCCTGTGTTTGAAGTTGAGGTTCGGGCCTCGCTAAGCAATGAAAGCAAAAGCACGGGACACGATCTGTCCAACATCCATCATAATCAAACCCGGGCGGTGCCCTCGACATGTGAGTGATAACAAGCCCGTGTTTCCATGGGTTCTCGGCGCTGTGACAGGTGAGGGCACCATCTCGCTGGACACCCTCCGAAAGGCAAGGCAAGCTCCCGTGTTTTTAGGTAGGCTGCCTCTTTCCAGGGTAGGTCAGTCCAGGCCACTTTGGTTTTAAACCCGTAGGGGTGGCTTTATGAACAGAGGGTGTGGCCAACTGGGCAGCAGATGCGTTGCAGCAAGAGGCTTTCTTTGGGACGGATGTCTCCAAATCCCTGGAACAAGCTTTAAGCTTTTTCGGTTCCTTTGGAGCAGTTGTTCTAGGGGTTCCCTGCGTGTTGACTTGAATTTGGAGAAAGATGTGTTTTCATTTTCGGGAAATGTACTGTTGACTCAGTAGTTCTACAAAGCAAGGCAACAGGAAAAAACACTGAATTTTGTCGCTGTGTGTCTGTGTGTGAAGTTCCGGATCACTGAGCTCTAGCTTCTCCACAGATGGACTGATCACCTGGCCCGTACTGGCCGCGTTGGTGGTTGATTCTGAAATTTCAAGAGAAGGGAACCCACCTCCCCCCTTCCCGCGGATGACCTTTTGTTGTTCCTTCATAGCCAGAAAGAAAGGTCCAACTGACTTGAGTCCAACGTCTCGTTGGTTCGATTTCATCTAAATGTTTGTTCTGCTTTCCGGAGCAATCCATGGGAGGCCATCTCCAAGTCCGCAGACGCGGACAGCATCTGCAGCAGCCTGACAAAGGACGGGTGCAGGGAAATGGATTCCCAGCTGCATCCAGCGGCACCCCGTTTCAAGCCTCTCTTTTTTTTAATATATATGTTTTTTTTTCTGGTGTCTCATCAAACTGAAGCAACAACTGTGTAGTCTGTTTTCCGCGAGACTAACTTGGGAGTAAGGATTACACTGACTGGGTGTCCGCGAATGTGCAGCCGCAGCAGTACCTGAAGGAGGGACGCCCGGAGATAATGTTGAGTGCGAGGCGCCTCAGGCCTCTTTTGTTTCTAGTGACGGGTGAACATCAGCTTTTCAGTGTTTGTGTAGTTCAATTCTTCTGAAGCGGAAGGAACCGCAGGCGTGTTTTCTCAAGGTGTGTTTGGTAACAAAGACATATATTGCAAGGCTCACAAAGACCAGAAGCTGAGTAGCTATGCTCATGTCAGTTGGGTTTGCCAAGTTTGCAAGTACATTTTGCAGCCGAGGATACTGCTGGGAGGCCTTTCGGATCATTGATAAGGACAGTAGCTTGGCGGCAGCGTCTGGCACGACTTGAATTGGTATACCCCTCAACCAATTTAAGGATTACCCCATAAAAGCAGCCGTTAGAGAAATCTCACCCAAAAGCTGGTGACAACTTTCATCCCAAGGCTTCACGATTTTTGTCTCTGATTCCTTGCCAACCCTTCCACAAAGGTTTCTAGTTTGGTTTCACACATACACATTGAGAGCCTCTACCCCCCCCCCCGGGGTAGTTAGACAATTATAATGCTATTTGTTTTGTTGGTTGGTATCCCTGTTAGGTGGTTTTTAATCAGGCAATCCAGACGGACACCGATCTTCGGGCTTCTCAAATTTTAAGAGGCCCATTTTGCCGCATGCCTTGAGAGACAGCAAACACAACGCCAACGCCTCGTGTCCGCACCTTTTCCCTCCCTGAGGCCGCAGCGATTCCTTGCAAAGGCCGTTTTGTTTGATCGTTGCAACACACAAGTGGTTGCATAAAGTGACCATACCAGCCATCCTCAACTCCTGGGGAAGGGAAGGTTAGTAGCGGACAGTCCCAATCAGAAATAGGTTTTGTCCATGTTGATTATTTCAATTGTTTGCATAGTTTGGTCGAGCCCTTTCATACCAGGTTTTGATTGTGACTAGTGACCAATGCAAAGATTTCCACCAAAGCGCCCCCAATGAAGAATAACACCCTAATATGGATCCTTACAACGGTGGTCTAAAGCCACCATTCGAGGGTTGAGCACCACTCCTATCACCCCCTGAACCAACACAAACACAACTTTTGCGAATCTATGGATGAATCATTGCCGTCTTCCTGTGCATCATACTGTGGATGGACGAAATCCTGCACCACTTGGAATCCGTGGGAAACCGTTGTTTGTTGGCGGTTACATCCTTTCAGGGTTTGCTGGGTGGTGCAGGATTTCGTCCATCTACAGTAGGTATGTTTGCCGTCGAGAAGCGGGGTAATCTTCTTTGTGCTGAAAGCTTCGTGCGCTCTCGTAGGGTCCACAAGTCAGGGGACCGTAGAGATCAGCTGCCTCTGACGATGCACTTGTGCAGCAATGCTGAACAATTGGTGTTGCTCACATCTCGCCGTGTTCAAGCCTTTCGTGGCTCGGTTTGTGAAGAAAAGGGATATTCAGGCGCATTTGGTTCATTCCCTAGGCGCGCTGGCGCACACTGCGCCCCTAGCAATGGAATGCGTAACTGCAGGCCCCAACCAGGTTTCCCTTCAAGAACGGACACCACCAACTTGCGATAAGTGGAAGAATGTCGGTTTTCCTTGTGATTTCCCTTCCCCAGCTGAAGATGACGGTATCCTCAAGAAAGGACCCACACCCACACCCACACCCACACCCACACCCACACCCACACCCACACCCACACCCACACCCACACACGCACGCACGCACGCACGCACGCACGCACCCACGCACCCACGCACGCACGCACGCACGCACGCACGCACGCACGCACGCGCACACGCACACGCGTGCGCGCGCGCACGCACACGCACACGCACAGACTCACGCACGCACACGCACATGCACACGCACACGCACACGCACGCGCACGCGCACGCCCACGCACACGTATACGCACACGCACACGCACACAGACACGCACACGCACACGCACACGCGCACGCACAAGCACACGCGCACACGCACGCGCACGCACACGCACACAGACATTCGCACAGACAAACACACACGCGTGTGCACGCGCACGCGCATGCGCGCACGCGCGCGCGCGCAAGCGCACGTGCACGCGCACGCGCACGCGCACGCGCACGCGCACGCGCACGCGCGCGCACACAGAAACGCGCACGCGCTTGCACACGCACACGCGCACGCGCACGTGCACGCACACGCGCACGGATACGCGCACGCACAAAGACACGCACACGCGCACGCACACGCACACGCACACGCGCACGCGCGCGCGCGCACGCGCACGCGCACGCGCACGCGCACGCGCACGCGCACGCACACGCACACAGACACAGACACAGACACAGACACCGACCCGTGACGAGGCAGTGGCAAGATCTCTGTTCCGGAGCTGTGCCAAGTCCTGGCCCGCCACGGCGCCTCGCGCTGTGGCGGGCTGGACGAGGCCAAGTGCGAGCGCCTGGTGGCGGAGTTCGATAAGAAGCTCGGCGGGGGGGTCGAGGCAAGGCGCGCTTCGGCCACCAGACGCTCCATGGGTCGATAAGCCCAGAGAGGCGGACACTGGTTGGGGGGTGTTGAGGGGTGTGGAGGCCAGCGGGCGCTTCGGCCAAGCGCTTTTTATTCTCCATGGGGGGTCGAACAGCCCGGATAGGCGGCAAGGGGTGGTTGGGGGTTTGGGACACCCAAAGCCCTGGGAAGTGATGTTTTCAGCTGAAAGCGAGTTGGAGTTGATAAGCCCAGATATAGGGGAGGTGAAATTGACATTTGCAAGGAGGTGTTGTAGTGGGGCCTCTTGTTTGGAGGTGTTGTCCTTGGGGCCGAATTCTGGTTTTGGCACAATTCTTTGTCCTCCATTTCCAATTTCGCGTGTGCTTCCGGTGATGCTTGATCGGGGAAAATAGGCACTTCAGCATATTTGGCTGATGTATACGCACACACACACACACATGTCCCTTGGGGTAGTGGCGGTTCCGGTATCCTCTAAGACTTTTAAAAATATATGTGAACCACCGCGCCCTTGAGGAATCGATGATTCCCTGAACAGTCAATTACAGGGTTCTCAACCTGTTCCCAGCATGCGTTACATTAAGAGAACGGGGTGTCCTACAATTGAAAGGACATCACCAACTCAAGAGGTGTCCGTTTCTCCAGACAGGAAGTCAGGGACCAAGTACTGGTTGACGAAAAGTGTTGAGTTCAGAGTATTTTGTAAACGGATACAGAGTTGGTCCCGAAATCACACAAGTGACCCAACCACACACAGGGGGTGAGTTCCCACATCTTACACTTACAGAATCGCACCTGAGCGGGTGACAAAGGGTTTGGGGAGGGGTACTATCTTTTAAGGGTTTCTATTCATGTTTTTCTCGCTTTTGGCTTCTTGGCTTTTCGGCTCCTTGGCTTTTTGGCTTGTTGGCTTCCATGCACCCAAATCTTGTTAGAAACCCCCATAGGAACTGGTCCCCGACCCGAGGAACGGAGATGGCGAGATTGACTTTGACGAGTTCCTGGACCTTCTGGGCTCGCCCTCAACGGCTTCCGACATCTCTCCTGTGCGGCCGTTTCGCGTGACACCCGACTTTCTTGTGACAGTTGGGTGAAAGTACCCCTTCTTTACCCCCGCAAACAGAATTGTACCATCTATTTTCAACCTGTGACTATTGGAGGCCAAGGACTAAGGAGCAATAACGACCTTCCCGTGGCTCTTTTTTGCAAGCTCTGAAAAGCCAGATTTCGGCGGTTTTACCCCGTGTTGGATAGGGGGCTCTTATTTGCTGGGAGCACATTCCCTTAGCTACATGCGGCTTATAGTCGTTGGAAGTACACCTTCATGATGGACATTACAACAGTTATTGTTTGCGTCCCTTGGTCTACTTTGGCCAACATCATTTAAATTGTATCATTCCCCACTTACCAACATGAAGAGGACTGTGCCGTCTACTTTAACCCAGCTGTACCTAGTCGGTTTCCAGTTGTTCACTTAGTTGTCCGTTTAAGGCTTCTGAGAAAGACACCAGGCCCCACAAAGGGTTGAACTCTTTGCCGAGGTATGGCAGGTTCTCTTGTTCTGTCAGTTTGGATTGTTGTCACTTCCCTTTTTCTCCTTCGGTTGCTCTCTACTGAGCCGCCAAGGGTGCCATGATGTTGGACCCGCAACTAAGGAAACCAATGCGTGATGCACCGTGATGCCTCCCTGGGTCCCGGATGGGAGTTCCACCTCCGAGAAGACCCTTCTGTCTCTCCCGAGTTGGGAGAAGAGCGTTCGGTACACCTTGATGCGTAGTGATGCTCTTGCTGTTCCAGATGGGAGGGGATTGCATAATTTAGCTACAGAGGTGGCTAGAAGGCTGCAGGAGACGATTGCAGCGGCGTATCTCTCGCGCCGCGGCAGTTGGCACCCTGCATTATAAAGATGCAGCTTCTGATTTCAAGGCCACCGCTAGATTCAGAAGAGTTGAGCCCCGCAGTTCCAGCGAGCCTGCTCCCAAGAAGCAGCTTGCTGGCATCTGCTCCGGGTGCAGAAAGTGACATCACAACGTTGTCGAAATTTGTCAGGGACCCCACGAACCATCCCTCCAAGGACTCCCCAACACCCAAATGAACCAGCCTTGTGTCCCAACAAGTTGCGACTTTGGTCTTTGGCCTGCTTTGCTTGAAAGGTCCCTGAACAGCTTGGCCCAGCTGCGCGGCTTTCTTGGTGTCAAGCAAAAAGAACGCCATACAGATGAGATGCGGTCGAAAGTCCCGGTCGAGTCTATCCGACACCTCGTCAAGCTTCAACCCGCAGATTGCAAGAAAAGGGGAACCCAAAGTTGTCCCATGCCGTCGTAGGCATGGCTCTTGGCGGTATTTGGACCGTGGCTCAGATAGCCGATGTCTCCCGTTTCGCAAAGCGAGGCGGGGCGCGGTGGAGTTTTGTGGCGGAGGCAGCTTGCAACTGGAACTTGATAGCAGCGATCAATATATACCATCGTTTACCGTGACTCACTTGGTCAAAGCCTACCTTTGCTTGCCCCTTTTGGTCTATTTCTGGTCATGTAACCTTTTCCTTTCCTTTGGGCAACTGAGGCAAGGGGAACATCGTAGGTCACACTCACCAAATTGCCATTCACCAAGCTCCCATCTCTGGGAGAAGTATTGATGCCTCATGTGGCTATGGATGTTAATGATTTTACCCTCAAAAAGCTAGGCTTCATTTCCCTGCAGATCATGGGGGCTGGGGGGGAGGGAGGGGAGGGGAGGGAGCCCAAATAAGCCCCAAAAAAGGTCTTTTTAAGGGCTTAATAGGGGCTTATTTGGGCCCCCCCCCCCGCCCCGCCCTCCCCATGAGCAGATGGTGCCTGCCAAAGCGACCTCAATTGAGAAATTCATCCCCATGGGCTTTCATCTGCCTACGATAGCCTGGTACATGTTAATTTGGGATCGTCGCACACCTAATTTGGGCTCCCAAACCTTATGCGGGGCGTCTTTTTACCATCCGAGTTTGTGTGTTCGGGGGCATTGGGTTTTGGACATACACCCGGAAGATATGTGTTACACACATGGTGATCGGCTTTTTTCTCAATATTTTTCAATGTCGGATTTCAAGGGATGTGATATGTGACCACCGGTAAACATTTTTTTGTTGTTGCAATGTTGCAACTTCACCTTCAAATGGAACATGCAAGCAAACATAATGCAAGCGTGGGGCCGAGTTTCAATCCTGCCACTTTGTGCAATGTTAGGCGAGCCTTGCTGTTCTAGTCGGACAACGTCCACTGCATTCAACCATGTTCCATGTTCTGCTGCAACCAAAGCTGCGTTTAGTGGCTGCTGCACTCAAGCACGGCATGCCAGAACCTACAAGTCAAGTTCTGCGCAGCCAGTGTTTGGCTTGTCTCCACTCTGGGAACGTCGGTGTTTGGGTTCTTGACATATTCCGCCGGTGATTTGGGACATCGCCATTTTTAGGCGTAGTGAAACGGAGCTTCCTGGTGACATGCTCGAACAAAAAGAATAGGGAGTGATCATTGTGACGCCAGAAATGGTAAGAAATCGAAACCAAGTGGAAGCCACGCGTATTCAAATGGACTTTCACACAAGCACTTGAATGGACTCTGCCGGGGAAGACGCAAGACAGCTAAAAAGGAATCCAACTGGCATTCGCCTGAAAGCCAGAAGGGCAATACAAAGCAAACAACACGAAGCTAGAAGGAAGCCAAGAGGGGCACCTGGTTGCCCTTGAAGCCTTGTGTCGTGCCCAGAGAGTTTGATGAGACAATGTACAGTCGACGCCGATGCTCAACTTGGGCCCAGCGCGAACATTTGCGAGGTTGAAAACGGATCCGTGAGTGAGAGAACGGTTTTGAGAGCTAGGGTCTTTCTCCACCGGTTATGAAGATATGTCTCAATACTCGATATCAATTGCCTCCATTCGCGCCCATTGGAGGCCAGCGAACACTCGATTCGCACTCGTTACGTTTCAGGACATGACGCCGAGATGCCTCGCATCAGATTTCCAAGAGTCCTCGGCTACGAAGGGCGCGTCGAATCTGCCCGAAGCTCGCCCAGCCGCATGGCTGCCACAGCATCCGAGATGCTCCGCCGGGATGACACGGCGCTCGACCTCAAGCGCCGCCGATGGACGTTTCGTCGTCCCTGGAGTGGAGTTGCGGAGTGCAGCCCTCGAGTCCTGCTCTAGTCCTCACTGGACTCCTGGCTCCTTGCCAGTGAACACACCGAAGGTGAGATGCCTGGCGGCTATCTTGGAGTTGGTTTTGTCCCTGTGTCGCCAAATCATGTTGGGGACAAACACGAGCTCAATGTTTGGGCCAACGAGCTTGCCTGATTGACGCAGGGAAACTGGGAGAATGTTCAGGCACAGTCCACCTTCACTTTCAACTCGCCACCTTCACCAAGAGCGTCTAGCAAATTCACGTATTTTCCGACATGCGAGCAGAACCAACATCGACAGGCATTTGTTTTCTGCGCCCTTGCTTCACTGAAGGTTGTGGCAGGGTGCAAGCTCCCATTTGTGTATGTTGGTAGAGCTGGTTTTGCTCGTGCTGCACGTCTTAGAACCAGTAGCTAAGACTGCCCTTCTGCCAGGCCTCGGACAAAAGGGGCGCAGACTCAAGGCTGAACACGTGAGGTCTCGTAACAACTCTTCATGGACGATATCCCAGAACACAAGGGATGGGATTCTTACACACATCAAAACCCGATGGGAAGGTCAGTACAGCTCCGACACTACAAAACCCCCCGGTTGCGGCACAAGCTTGTGCCCTTTTGGTTCTTTACATGACCTTGGGCTGGACAAAACCTACACAAAATCATTGGGATTCGGCCATGGCACAGATCACGTTTCTCCACGCGGGGAGGACATCGCCGCGACATCGTGCAGCGTTGAGGCCCAAGGCGCGCAAAATGGAGAAGTGGCTCTTCCGGCAAGGCCTGGCAGAGGTGGATCTCCTCATCGGGTCTCGGATGGGGGTCACTCGAGGCAGAGATTCGAGCGCCAGGCTTTTGCCGCAGATCCTCCGCTTTGGCACTCTGAGTGCTTCGGTTGGCTGCCCCAACTGGTTCGGGAAAATGGACAGTACACTTCGTCCTTTGCCATGCTCAAAGGTCCCCGGAAGCATGGAGCCATGGCCACCCCCGTCCAATAATTCACTGCTGCTTTGGGATTTCTCAGCCAGCTGGAAATTCTGAGCCCCTGTATATTTGGGCAAAACGCTCACCCCTTTTGGGCGGGGAACAAAATGCCACTCCTGAAATCACGGCGCTGAGCCGACATTGACAGAAGGAACCTCAGAAAGCGCTTGCGCAAATGGCGAGAAGCCTGCACTTAATTTGTTTTCGTAATCTTTTCAAGGCAAGTTGGGCGACTGGAGGACACGCCAATGCGACAATGGAAATTACCTGGTCAACTACATATCCCGTAGGATCCCTTTGCACGCCCGAACCCTCTGTATCCCCTTGAGCCAGCAACTTTGATTTCCACGAAGCTTTATAAAGGCTTGCTTGGAGAGCAAAGAGGGGAGAGGGGGCGTTTGGGTGGTGAAATTTCTCCCCGACCCCCGCGTTCCGCATTGCGGGTCTTTTTCCGTGTATTACAAATCGGGCAGGCAGGGTCAGCCATGCGGGTGCACAACTTGTGCCCTGCCAAGTGAAGCGCAGTCCATTCAAGAAGAGGTTTCGCACAATTGCAGTCTTGGAGGAATGCAGTAGCCTCGTCTTCGAGCGCTTCGCAAAGCGCGCCGGGATCCATCTCACGGTTTGCCCCAGCTTGGCGGAGTTGAAGGACAACGTGAAACAGAAACAGAGCAAGAACTTCCACAGGCCCCTGGCCGTCATCGCAGATGACGCCTGCCTCTCAAACAATGGCCAAAACGCGCTGACGCGGCGGGGGAGGAAGTGGGTGCTTTGGAGTTGAGTTCACCAGCGGATACAATTTTTTGGCTCATCAAAATGTGTTTTTTTTTGCTGGGTGGATACAGGGGCCAGAAAACCATTTGCTTACTCCACTCAAAGCTTTCGAGCCTTATTAAAGCAGTAGTCTTTGATTCAGGGAGGTTCCCCCCTTTCCAACAACCATGAAAGTAAATAGGCCTTTTCAAGGTGCTGCTATGTACACTTACATAATCGGTGTCAGCATTCTGCTCATTACATTGAGAGCGGTTCAGGCAAACATCATTCTGCTGATGCCCTGCTGCCTGACCGCATGGCGCGTTTCTCCGCGCCTGTCAATGACGTAGCATGGATGACTTCTTACTTGCTGACCTGGCTGACTTGCTGAATTGCAGTATTGGGAACCATGTTTGCCATCCGCATCACTGCACTTGCTCATTCTCGAACGGTTGCATGGGTTTGTTTCGGATGGCTCAAACGCCGTGAAGCCCAAAGCACTCAAGAGATACGGGGGTTGATTTGGGTCGGTCAGAAAATGGCCCCATTGGATACTTCCCCGCTCTTTGTCGTGGCCTTTCAAATACAACCTGATAGTTCTCACCATTTAAGAGTGGTTTTCCTTTACAACCCGAGAATTCACCATTTACTGGACCCCCCCCAAAAAAAACAAACAAACACAAGAAGCTTGTTGTAGTTCTAAGATTATGGAAGGGAGTGAAAGACCATTTACTGGACCCCCCCCAAAAAAAAACACAAGAAGCTTGTTGTAGTTCCAAGATTATGGAAGGGAGTGAAAGACCATTTACTGGACCCCCCCCCCAAAAAAAAAAACCACAAGAAGCTTGTTGTAGTTCTAAGATTATGGAAGGGAGTGAAAGACCATTTACTGGACCCCCCCCAAAAAAAAAACACAAGAAGCTTGTTGTAGTTCTAAGATTATGGAAGGGAGTGAAAGACCATTTACTGGACCCCCCCCCCCCAAAAAAAAAACACAAGAAGCTTGTTGTAGTTCCAAGATTATGGAAGGGAGTGAAAGACCATTTACTGGACCCCCCCCCAAAAACAAAAACACAAGAAGCTTGTTGTAGTTCTAAGATTATGGAAGGGAGTGTAAGAGTCCGTGCATTTCCCATTTCCCAGCTCCCTTCCCAGTCTTTTCCAGCCCGTTTTAGGACGCGTGGCTGCTGCGGGAGATCAAGGCCTTGCCGCTGAGCGGACGGACGCCTTTCCTCGTGGACGCCAGCAGCGCGGAGAGGCGTCGACGGTTCGCGTTGGTCGCGTTTGTCGCGAGAGGCGCCGAGAGGGACATCCTGGTGGTGGACGATTTGGCTTTTGTGGTGAGGGAAAGGTGGTGTTTTCTTTTTGGTTGGGTCAATTACAAAAATCCGGGCGTCCAGGTTTAGAGTTCTTGAGATGATGAACTTGGTCAAAGGGGCAGGCAGCCAGCTTTGGGAGGGCCATCTAGTGTTGCCCTTAAGGGGTTTGACACATTCACCGGGCGGAGCAACGCACGGCCGAAGCTGCAAGCCGAGTTTCGACTCGGCTTGGGTTCCAAGGGTTCAGCTCTGCGCCTAAGTTCGAAGCTTTCGACCTCGCCGGTTTTTGACCTCGCCGGTGTGCTTTTGGTGGTTGGCGATGGAGAAACGCCGATTGGAACTCCGGTTTTGCATCGATGTTCAGGGGACAGTGAAGCAAGATAACTTTTGACGTGTGGCCTGCGGGAGACCATTTGTCGCTTCCATGTGGCATTTGGTTTCAGGTCCTTGGGGTTCGTGGGCTGAAATTCCAACAGCATGCCAAAGTTGAACTCCCGTCTTGTTTCCTTTGTGGTTTCCCTTTCGTTTCCTTTGCCTTCTCTTTGGTTTCCTTTTGCCTTCCCTTTCGTTTCCTTTGGCTTCCCTTTGGTTTCTTTTGGGTTTCCCTTTGCGTCCCTTTGGTTTCCCCCTTTGGCTTCCCCGTTGGTTTCTCCCTGCGGCACCACTCGGAGGAGCTTGGCGGACGCCCAGCTGGCCTCCTGCAGCTTCGCGGAATTCCAGCTGGTGCTCTGGGCTTGCCCCGGCCGCACGAAAACGCCCTCCGCGGGTTTTGGTCGGGCGGGTTTTCGGTCCAGGCGTTTGGGATTGGGATTGGTTAAGAACCGATTTTTTGGGGTTGGGGTTGGTTCTCGGAGGTTCACGGTACGTGAGCCACGTCACCGCAACACCGATTCGGGGGTTGGTGGAGGAATTGGCAAGGGACGAGCCCCTTGCCATAAATAGCTGCGGATATCCGCCTTCTTAATTCTTGAAGCATGGTTCTGGGAAAACAAGCATTTTAGTACCGGGTCTTGATTGTGACTCACGCGTTGAAAGAAGAACATCGGCCAGTTCCTTGGTCGGGTCACGTTCTTTACCCGCAGGAAGGTGTAGATTGCGCATCTACTTTGGTGTAGATTGGAAAGGGGGTCTCCAACATCTAAATTAAATCAATCGCAAGATACTGCAACTATTAAGGCCTTGCTGCCCAGCGGCTTCGAAACGACAGTCTTCTCAGCTGCGCCTGCACGTTCGCGGGTCCCTTCCAAAGTGAAACTCCAGTCTTTCTGACGGAAACGACGGGCGACGTGCGCAGTGCTACCCTTTGCAAAGTCCTGGCGCAGCTCTCCAGAAGCTCCTGAGACTCGGATCCTGACGATCGTTGGTCAGCTCTCCCCTTTTCCGGCTACACACATGCCCACTTGACACTTCTTATCACATGCATGATTCCACACGGTTGTCAGTTTTTTAAAACAAACACACTGGCTTCCACTTGCTTTCCGTATGTATGTCTGTATTTTTGTTCAAGACGCCCCAATATGTGCGCATCAGCTCAGTAGTTGCTTCTTACAGTCAAGCACGCCGCTGCTTGGTTTGTGGTTCATGTTCTTTGGCACACATTTGTTTTTTGTTGATGCCCTTTACCACCAGGCAGCTTCCTGGACAATTCCTGGCATGGGACTCCCCTTTTACCCGGGTGCTGTTTCGAGGTCACACCTCGGTTATTCTCCTTTGAGGGGAACTCATATGCGCCACGCTGCTTTCTATTGGTTTCGTTTTGAATGAATCTCGGCCTTTGGACAATCAGAGGGATACTTGATGATCTCTTGTGGTACTGTTCCGCCATTTTTCCTATTGTGGTACATGTCCTGGCTATTTTGCCGCAAGTGTGCGCTGACCCTAACAGACCCCTCTGAGATCTTGATTGTGTTTTGCTTTTAGGCCGGCCGTTTGGAAGTAGCTGTGCTTGGAATACACGCACGGTGCCAAGGATGGCCATGGGTCTTGGGTCCAATTCGCCACCTGAGGCCTGAGGCGCTGGGACATTTACAAGACGCCGCTATTGGAAGCCTTGCCCCGTGCGGGGCACTGCGGGGGTTAGGAGTAATGCCCACTTCGGATTCGGAGTGACGTCCATTTGGGGAGGGCGATCTTGGCACGTGGTCCTTGGTTGCCCTTTGGTTTGACCGACATTTGCTTTCCGAACCAACTGGCAGCACATTCAACCTTCAGCAGGTCCAGACCGGCAAAGACAACCCGGGGGGGGGGTCGTCTGCCTGCAGGTTAGCACGGAGTAGCGCGGTTTAACCTTGCAATCCCACCTTCCACGAAGAATTAGTCAGAGCTTACCATACAGTTTCCGACTTTGAGTCGTTTTTGTGGGCTTCAGGGCGTTGTTTTGAAGGTTTGGTGCGGCAAGCTAGCCTACGGGTCCGCGACGCTGACCTCTTCATCTTAGGGGCATGGGTTGAGAAAAGGGTGTGCCTCCAAATGGCAACGTTCACGGGGCACAGCAAGCTAATCACCAGGGGTCCGACTCGTTTTGAGAGACACCAACTATTTTCATGATGCTCAGCCTGCTTATCACTCCAGCTTGTGATCTGCCAATCCGAAGTTGGCATTCGGCGAGGGAAGGACCCGCGCGTGGAGCTTTGACCTGTAGAGCGAGTCAGGCTCCGAGCGAAGCCGGTTTTAAGACTATGGAAACATGTCATCCGTGGCTTCCCAAAATCCAAAGAGGACCGCCTTGGAGACCAATTCGGGGTCCCTAGCACAATGTGGGGTGGTGGTCTTTGGCTCCTTGGTTGCATTGGAACGAGCGCGTTTCAAGCCGCACAGGGACGACCTGTTGGGCGGCCGTTTCAAAGATCGGGTCCAGTGGCAGTGGGCGAAGCATTTGCTGCCCATGGTTTCTGGACCTGCCGGGTGAGGGTTTTAAATTATACCATCCAGGCTTCTTGGTCTCTCCTTTAGGTCTCCTTTTTGGTTGGTTTGGTTGAAAAACGGGCTCTGGCTTGCGTGCTGGTTCAATCATCTACCAGGGCCACCTATTTACAAAAAAAAGACCCATATGGAGAGACTGGTTGCTCGCGAAGTTTCAGACGTGAGGTTTCCTAGACAGTCCTTGGCTTGGTTTCGGCAAACCTAGCTCAGGAACCCAACAGCGGTCTCTGCTTCCCAAGATGTCTCGGCCGCCAAAGCATGCACTTCGCCGTTTTGTGAAGGGATTGATTCCCCATTCTTCTCCACCATTTTCAAGCACCAGCTGTTGCCAACCTGGTTGCTAGATGCCATGATCCCAAGAATGGGGAAGGATCCGCTCCGCCCAGTGGACGAACCCCCGTCCTTCTCCCCGGGCCGAGCGCATATATATATATATATATATTGTATTTGAATATCTCGGCTTTACAAGGGATCTCGGTTTGCGACCTCACCCATGATAAAGGTTCCTAAATCTAAGGAGTCCGTATCTGCAGTTGGTGTATGGTTTCAATTGAATCAAGTAGGTCGTTGAAGCTTTTTGAGCATGAATATGTGTGTCCCTTCGCAGACAGACGCAGGAGCCGGAAGGGGCCGGTGCCAAATCCACTGGCACAGCTATGTCACACACATACACACACGCACGCACGCACGCACGCACGCACGCACGCACACACGCACACACGCACTCACGCACACACGCACACACGCACACACGCACACACGCACACACGCACACACGCACACACGCACACACGCGCACACGCGCACACGCGCACACCCGCACACCCGCACACCCGCACACCCGCACACCCGCACACCCGCACACCCGCACACCCGCACACCCGCACACCCGCACACCAGCACACCCGCACACCCGCACACCCGCACACCCGCACACCCGCACACCCGCACACCCGCACACCCGCACACCCGCACGCGCACGCGCACGTACAAACGCACGCGCACGCGCACGCGCACGCGCACGCGCACGCGCACGCGCACGCGCACACGCACGCGCACGCGCACGCGCACGCGCACGCGCGCGCGCACCACACGTCCACGCCCACGCCCACGCCCACGCCCACGCCCACGCGCACGCGCACGCGCACGCGCACGCCACGCGCACGCCCACGCGCACGCGCCGCGCACGGTGCAACGTGGGACGAGCCGGCGCACGCACACGCACACGCCCACGCCCAAGGAACGCGCGCAGGCACACGCGCACGCGCACGCGCACGCGCAAGCGCACGCGCACGCGCACGCGCACGCGCACGCGCACGCGCACGCACACGCACACGCGCACGCACACGCACGCGCACGCCCGCACGCCCACGCACACGCACACGTGCACGCACACGCACACGCACATGCGCACGCCCACGCCCACGCCCACGCCCACGCCCACGAACACGCCCACGCCACGCACACGCACACGCCCACGCACACGCACACGCACACGCCCACGCCCACGCCCACGCGCACGCCCACGCGCACGCGCACGCGCACGTGCACGCGCACGCGCACGCGCTCGCGCACGCGCACGCGCACGCGCACGCACACGCGCACGCGCACGCGCACGCGCGCGCGCGCACACGCACACGCACACGCACATGCACATGCACACCTACACGCAACGCATTTGGTATGATGCGATCTCATCTGAACCCTATTGGCACAGCTAGCCAAGCTTGCAGAACCATATTGCTTGCACGGAAACCAATTCGCAGTACATGGCAATGTTACACAAGTCAGAGGGCCTAGACAAATTTGAATCAACATGCACACAAAGTCCACTCATTGCCGTCTAGTTGCTTTGTGATATGCTGATCTCTTCGCTCCGAATGATTGATCCTGATTCATGACTGCTGGTGATTAGTTTCTGTTCAGACTTATCTCAAATAGCTCAACAGCACGAATGCACATGTACAACCAACTTGTTTGCATAGAAAGCTGATTTTGCCCAGGCATGCAAAGCAGGGGCACATTTAGTCGTCTCACGCAGAGCCGGTAGCCGGTGTCATGTGATTCAGAGCCAAAGGGGAGCCGCATCGGCAAATCCCATCTCAGGGGTAAGCCCGCTAGGCCCATGGGGGGAAAGGACCTTAAGACAAAGGGGCTTTGCGCTCATCACGAAAGTTCCTTCTTGGGGGAGGGGGGGTTTATGATTCACCCAGAACAGTGAATACTGACAATGAGGAGCCATCAAGAGTACCAAGACTCCCCTATGGCTTTTCAGAAGTAATTTTCAAGCGCTGCCTTGGCACACTGAAACTAGTCAAGGCTGTTTGGCAGACTGAAGGCCGGAGGCCGAAACGTGAAGCTGGCAGGTGTGAAAGGACCGGCTATGTCTAAGTGGCTTGCTTCAATCCACCGGCATTCTCCAAATCTGAAAAGTGGTTGGTTTGCTTTTGGTTTCCCCTTACATACCAATCACAAGCGCTCCACCATTTTGGGAAGCTCCCATTTGCCAGACCATTTCTCCCTGAGGCAGTGATTTGGGGGTCGCACCAGGCGCAGGTGCCGCGCCTCACTGAGGCCTGTTGGTTTTCCTGACCGGTTTGGTTTGGTGGAAGCGCGTCAGCTTCAGACAAGCAACACGTGCGACAGTTGCGTGCTTTTGGACTAGCACTTTTCTGGGCACAGGATAGAGAGGATGCGGATGCACCCCCTGGCGATCGAACGGCCGCAACTACCATATTCCGAAGTGAGTAGCCCTTTTCCCCCCCCCCCCCCCGCCCCCGCGTTTTTCAACCGGCAGGTAGAAACCGGATTCCAACTATTGCCAATGCCAGGCCCCTTCTTCAGCTCCATTTTCCAGCCCTCTTCCTTTGGGCGCCTCCTTTTTCAGCCTCACGGAACCGCACGTTGTTTTTTTTCTCCCTCGCTCGGCGAGCGGCGCGTCGCTTCGTGGCCGCAGCCTTTTGCGAGTCGAAGTCCAAACGCTATCGCGATGGAGCTCAGCTTCCGACGCCACGGCTTGACGGATGTGGATCTTCTCATCGCAGTTGAGGAGATCTCATCAGCGGAGGGCTAAAGTTTTGGGGGAGGCCAACGGGAAAAGAAGCCATCTGCGGGGAGATATTTTTTTTTGGAGGGCTTGCTTTCTTTTGGGAAGCCGACGGGAAACCAGCCATGTGCGGGGACTCCCAGTTTTAGCTAACCCATTTGGTGGATGTCGCTTCGAACAATGCGTAGATGGGCGGTCAAAACTTCGGCACTCGTGCCGCGGCACAGGTCGCCGAGAGGATCGAAAGAAAGTGAAGGGAAGTCGCAACCAACCGAGCTTTGGTGGCTGCCTAGGTTTTTTTAGTGTTTATTTCCAAGAGTAAGACCTTTGCGAACTCTTCTCGAGCACATTTTTCTTTTGCAGGATTGCAGCAGCTTCATTTTCGAGCGCTTTGCAAAGCGTGCCGGCATCAACATCATCATTTGCGACAGCTTGGCAGAGCTGCTTCGAAGTGTCAAATGCCAGCAGAAGCTGAACTTTCATCGCCCCTTGGCAGTCATCGTCGACGACACCTTGTCAGCATTGGCAGCGATGGTTTCGCGTTCTTTACGCCGATAAACCGGGCGTTTGTTTCATATGCAGCCGATCCACCGAAACGCGAGCTTCTATGCTTGGGATCGACTCGATTTGTGTGTGGCATCCATAGGGGCCACGCAACTCTGCAAGTCGCACTTCTGCCACAGGTGATTTCCGGCTCCCCGCGCTCCTCCCCTTTGCGCGGGGAGAAAAGTCCTAGGCCCAGCTGCCAAGCTCATGTCGTTCTACATGGATGTGGGTCAAATTGAACCACCAGAATATGAACTCCAGGTTTTAGTCCTGGGTTCCATTTACCAGGGTTTTATTTGAGCCACCTATTTTTGACCCACAGCCAAATGGGTGCCGATCCATCTCCCTGTTGGAGGTTGTCGCACCTCCCGCCCGTCTCTGTGCAGACGCTCCTGAAAGGCACCTGCTCCACGGCGCCGCTGCGATCCTGCGGGAAGGGCGACGGAGCAATCCCTCCGATGGTACACGCCTCCCGTGCCTATGTGGTACACCTCAAGCCTGCGGCTCCTCAGTTCTCAACTCGCGCCAAACCTCATCCAAGTTTCTCCGAAGTGCATTTTCACGGACCAGATCTGACCCCGAAGCCCAGGCACCACTCTTCTCACACTCTGACCGCTTGTCGGTCGCCCTGCCAGAACCACCTGAGCCCCGACGTGAACCTCCGCATTTCGTTCCTCCGGTGCCGCGCGCTGCCATCATCCACGGCACCAGCACCACCAAAACTGCCCTTTTCGCTTCCCCTCAAAGACTCCGACTCCGAGACGTGCTAGGTTCACGCCCTCGAGCTCGTTTTTTCCATTTGGCCATCGAAATCCCAACTCGTGGCGGATCGGGGTCCTCGCCGAACTCACCTAATCTTCACCTCCCGAGCTGCAAGGCCGAGCTTCGGCCCACATCGTGGTCCATGCCTGACCAATCTCCTCGAACTCGCCAAAGATGGAAGGCTCGGCGAAGAGGTCGGGTTCTCCAAGGCTCTGAATCGGTCCGTTGAGATCGTCGCCATGTTGTCACACCGCAAGACCTTCCTGAGCTCCGCATCCAACGCATCCGACTCACCAGACTTAGCTGACTCTGCCAGCACTCCCTCTGTGGCTTGACAGAGGGCTGCCACCCAGCTTTCCAGGCGATTGGGGCCTGGTTCCAGACCGTGGAACCATTCCATGCCGAATTGATACCTCGGCCTGACACCCTGCAGCTCCTTCGGCAGTCGGGTTTCCACGCCACTTCCGGTCCCAGCTCAATGCCACTAGCACCCTTCTCACCGTCGGCTTCCCCGCGATCGCGAGGTCTGTCAGGAATGCTCAGCGTCTTCCGGATGTTCCTCAGCGTCTTCCGGATGTTCCTCACCCTGCGCCATTCAGAGAGTCCTTTGCTTTTGAACTCTCCTTTGGTATGGAGCCTGGGCACATGTCCATCACGCCTCATTGCGAAGGCAGGCCTGTATGGCTTCAAGCGCATCGCTGAGGACTGGACCTCTTTGCAAGAGATGCAGGCGTTGCCCTTGCTGGGCCGCGTGCCCTTCTTGATGGATGCCAGTGGCGCTGGGAGGACCGGCAGGGTCCGGGTAAATGGGCTGAGGTCCGTTGGGAGGTTCTTCGATGGAAACGATTGGAACCCTTTGCTTTGGAAGTAGATTTTTTCTTCTCTCAAGGAAGACGGACGCTTGACTTTTCAAAACCAGAGACGGTGACAGACACACGAAGAACATCCTGCACCAGTTGGGATGGATGAAGCTCTCTGAATACTGTAAACTACCTACATCACCCCGCTAACAAGTGTAATTTGAGGGTGAGGCGGGGGCCGGGGGGAGGGGGGTTTTGTTTGTTTGTGTTTGAGAGAGGTTTCGAGAATGCAGCGGGGAGGACACCCTTTTTGCTCTTCCATAATTTGACACCCCTGCGCCTGCTTCGCATGCTCATTTTAAACACTTTCAGTTCAAATGGGACAAGTGGGGTCCACAGGGGCAAGCTGACAATCCTGTTTGTTTTGAAGGAGTGGCGGGTACACCTCTCTTAACAAAATGCACCAAGTGGTGAGATGGTCCTGTTTCATCCCCTGGCTCGGCTTTCCAAATTCCCCCCCCCCCCAAAAAAAAAAAAAAGTAGCAGGGGAATGGGTTCAATGAGTGTCCGCGCCTGGGGGGAAATAGTATGGTTGGCTGCCAGCAATCCTATTGAGCGAAGGAAACCTTGGAGATTTCCCATTGTTTGTGGTTCGCTTACTGGCACTACCCAGGGCGTCCACCGTGCCTGCTGAACTCATGAACTTTCTTCCCCCCCCCCACCCCTAAAAGCTCAAGTTTGAAGCCCGTTTGAAGCCCGTTTGAAGCCCGTTTAAAGCCCGTTTGAAGCTCAGTAGCCCCCCCTCAAAAACAATGGTGGAGCCATCAAACCCAGAGCACGAATTGTTCAAACTAGCTTCCCGAGTTCCTGGACTTTCCGAAAAGCTCAGACGAATTTGGGACCATCTTGGGAAGGACGCGAATCAATCCCCATGAGCTCCCCCCTCAAAAGAAATATCGGTGGGTTACCATCATACCCCGACGAGATTGTTCCACTTGCTGGTGCGCAGCAGCAGGGAATGAGAAATGGAATGACTGCTATAAACTATTCCTTCTGGTTGCCTCTATAAACCATTTCTTCTGGAATGACCCCTTTTTCAACCATTCCTTCTGGTTGCCACTATCAACCATTCCTGGTTGAAATGATCCCTATAACCCCCCCTTCTTTTTCAGAGGAATCCCTGGTTCATTCCATTTCACATTCCCTATTTGTCGACCGTCAGGAATTTGGCAGATTTCGAGCTCGTGGCCTCTTGCAGCTTCATGGAGTTCCGCATGGCGCTCTGGGCCTGCCACTCGGAAAGAGATCTCGGAAACGGGACGGCGGCGCTTGGTTTGGTGGATTTTCTTGGGGCTTTGGTGGGCTTTTTTGGGAAAAAGACGAGGCAGTGGGTTTGGTGGCGGATTTTTTGGGGTTGGTTGGGGTGTGGTTTCTGAAGTGCCGGGGGTCTCGGCAAAGGGGTCATGTGTTTCCGGTCTTAGTTGTTCTTTTCTTCCCTGCATTGTGTCATATTTCTTTTTGAAGGGGGAGGGAGTGGGGGGGGGTTGGTGGGTCAAAAACATAGTGGTTGGCTTTTTGTTTGGGAGGGTGGGGGGTGATGAACACTGTGCCATTTTCTTTTTCTTTTTTCTATAGGTGTTGTTTTGTCTTGGGTCGGGTTCCCTGGCACGTTGGCTGGTCGCCTTGCTGGCTGGCTGGCTGGCTGGTTGAATGGCCGCATCTCACTCGGGCCAAGGGCTGCCCATGGGATCGGATTTGGTTTAGGTGAAGTGTAGGAAAACTGAGACCTGAAGGGCGGATCTTGGGTTGGTTTGGGGTTCAAGGCTCGACCTTCCAGGCTGCTGTTGGGCGGGCTTAGGGTTAACTTTGTGTGGGTTTGGGTTGGCTTGGAGCTGATTTGTGCTAGGTGCGTGGCTGGTTTAGCAGTGGCTTTCGGTTAGGCATATGGGGCCCAAAACTCATGCACAAACATCCCTGAAGCACCCTGAACCCTCTGCTACACCAGCCGCACATAGCACACATCAGCTCATTGAGATCTCAGCCCAAAGCTCAACCCGAGCAACTCTCAGGTCCAACACACCACCCCAGGTCCAAGCGAGGTCGGTGCTGGAGATGTCGTTTTGACTACCGAACGAGCTCCACAAGCTCACCCAAGAGGGCCCCTTGCGTGTTCTTGAGTATTTTCGGCTTCCGAAGTATAAGTTGCCGACGATCGCTAAAACTGGCTCTGGATTTTGAGGCTTGGAACCCTTCAAACTGGCGGTTGCATACAGCTCCAATAAATGCTGTCCACAAAAAGGTTCTCAAGTAAAAGCGGGCTCTTCAAGCTAGCATTGTGGCAGGTTCTTGTTTGGGCGGCCCCAAGCTACTAATGTCGCCCCGGATTTAAGCAGATTGCGGACTCATTGGTCTTTGACCCAACAGCGTACGATCCCGTCCAATTAGCGTCCAATTAATAATTACCCTGAACAAACCATGTCCTGAGTAAGCAGGAGTAAGAACCCTTGACACTGTTTCTAGGTGGGGTGAAGCAGTCATTTCCGGCGAAGGCCAAGTCTATGTGGTGCAGGGCCAGTTCGTCCGTGCCAGCTCGTATTATATATATATATATATATGTATCCGGTTCCATCATTTTTCGACATATGTTTTGATTGCGGCTCATGCGAAGAAGATGGGTTAACCGGTTCCTTGCCGATGCGCTCTCACGTTCGTGTCATGTGAATTTTCTGTCGACTAGGCGTGTCCTGCGTCGTTCTGCCTGGGGTGCGGTTTGCGGAGTTTTGGCAGACTGAACAGATTTCACTGTAGTGGGTGCAAATATCAAGCTTGGCACTCTCTCTCTCTCTCTCTCTGTGGAGTTCAGGATTTTTTGGGCGTGCTGAATTGCTCCACCCACATTATGCTCATCCTGGCGGTTCCCCACACGTTGTCATGATCCTATTTGCGCCATGACTCTGCTGAATGCGTAGTCTTGAGGCAGTTCCAACTATCATGATCCTGTTTGCATCATCATGATGTCGTCGCCGTCATCGTCGTTGTCGTCCTCCTCCTCCTCCTCCTCCTCCTCATCATCATCATCATCATCATCATCATGATCATGCGCTTATTATGGTGCTGCTCACGTTGTCATGATGATGCGTTGGCAGAATGCTGCCTATACTCTCCGGATCCACATTGCTATGACACTGCTCAGTTGTAGGTCGCTTCTTGCAAATGGATGGCGGCTTCCTTGGGATTTGTTGTGTCTCCCATTTTTCTTGACCGGGAAGGGCGCGGTCCCGGCGGTCCCTGCAGGGCAGCCTTACGAGTCTGGCACCATGCTGCCGCCTGCATCATCGTGCAGCTCACGCTCTCATGATGGTGTTGTTTGCAGTATTGACCTTGATGTTGACCATATCATCATGAGATCCCCGCGTCCGAATCCGCAAGCAGTGTCATCATGATCTTGCCTGCGTCATCATGATGCTGCCGCAACATTATGATGCTGCCCGCGTTATCGTCATTGTGGGCGTCACACAAATGCTGCTTGCAAAACATACTGCAGTGCAGAGTATCAGGATCTTTTTCTCTTCGCCCCATGATGCTGCCCTCATGTTGCTGCTCGCCTTACCATGTTGCGCACACTGTCATGATCCTGTTCGCATCTTCATGGCGCCGCCATCCATCGTCGTCGTCGTCGTCGTCATCATCATTATCATCATCATCAACATCATCGTCAGACCCGCTATATTTTGGTGCTGCTGCTGATTAATTATCAACATGGTGCGTGCTTCCCGGCGCGTCAGCTTGCTTTTTGAACCGGTCTTTGGTTGGCGTAATTGTGAAACATCAGTACAACACTGTTGCTATTTTAGGACATGGACAGCTATTTTGAGAACCCCGCCTTTGAAAACTCATGGGGGCTGGGGGAAAAATACATAAAACGGCACTTCTAAGACTAAAACCAAAAAATCAAACAGCATACAACAAAATCAGCAAAATTCACAGAAAACAAGATAAGAACCACCAAGCAACTCAAAAACCAGAACAACCCCCAACAAAATATTTAATCAAAGCATAAAACATTAAATAATTAAAACAAGCATACCAACAAAAAAGCAAAAATAAAAACCATCAAAGAACACAAACTCAAAAACACACATCAACAAAAACAAAGCAACATACCAACAAAAAATATCAGAAGCGTATCAAACAAAATAAAATACAAACAGCCAAAGCACGAAAAAATCAAAAGAGCATACCAAGTTCAAACAACGCACTTTGAAAGAGTCAGCCAAATCAATAAAAATTAAAATATTTCAATCTTTACAAACTATAAGTACAGTATAATTATAACATATAAGATTTTACATGTTATTATTATATTATGAGTTCAACTTATTAACTCAGCTATATAATGCTTCTTAATTATTTTCATTATTTTATCATCCGTCTTATCATTGTAAAAATATTATTTCCTATTGATTTTTCAAACCATCCCATTGTTCTAATTGCTATCACCATCGTCCAATCCCACGATTCCCATCGTCCAATCCCACGATTCCCATCGTCCAATCCCACGATTCCCATCGTCCAAGCCCACGATTCCCATCGTCCAAGCCCACGATTCCCATCGTCCAAGCCCACGATTCCCATCGTCCAAGCCCACGATTCCCATCGTCCAATCCCACGTTTCCCATCACCCAATCCCATGATGTCCATCGTCTAAGCCCTTAATTTACAATAATGAAATACCATTGAAACCGAGCGACTTTGCAACAAGTCCAACACTGCCTGTTCCGCTAAACATCTCTAATAAGTTCATTATTAAAGATATTTAGATAATATCATCTATGAATAAAAATCCCTGTTTCCTCGTTAAAAACTAAACTATGTTTAGTTTTCAATGAGTAAATACAACTTTATGAATAAAGTTGTGTTTCCTCATCATAGTCAATTTGATAAAATGTCATAGTTGAAGCCTTCGGTTCTTTAATTTCTTTGTTATTAAGTTTGTTTAAATACACTTGTTTCTTATTTTTATATTCAGCATTGGTTCTATCTACTTCTTTACTTTGATAACTGTTTGTTAAATGTTTCTTCTTTTCCATTTCTTGCAAGATTTCTAAAATATTCTTATTCTGTTCTAAAACCTTGTTCAGTTTTTTGACAATCTTTTCTAATCCTTCATTCATGTAAATATATATATTATATTATAAAATAAAACTTTTAAAACTAAACTTTTATTTTACAAAATCATATATCATTATAAGTCAATTCAAAATTAGTTATTGTGTAACTCGTTAAATTATTATTCAATTTACCAATTAAATTACAAATAATAGTTTTTCTAAATTTTGAATATTTATGAAACTTTTCAATATTATTTGTAATATAAATTATTAAACATTTAATACATTCAAACACATTAACAACATTAATGTTACTATTTTTGTAAATATTATTCATTTTTCTCAATGTAATTTCATAAAACTGAATAGCATTTTTATTATCATAATTAGCAATAAATCTTAAAGTATATGAATATATTCTTTTACAATAGAATTTTAAATCTGATTGTTCAAATAAATCAGCATAATTAATAGAATTATAAAACATGTTAAAATCAATTTTGCTATTTCTAAAGTCATTAACAAAATTAATTAATATATCATTTTCGTTATATTCTTCAATAAAATTATTTAATTTCAAGTCTTTTACATCAATGAATTTAATAATATTATTTATAACATCTCGCATTATAGATAATAATAGAAATAATTTTAACTATTATTTTTTCATCATTTCGCGTATAGTTTCCTGAGTTTCCTTATCACCATTATCGGATGGTGAGGCATGCCGTCCCCATTTGATAGCAATATTATGAACATCTGTTTCTAAGTTTATACTGTCTTTAGTTTTATCAATATTCATTTTCTTATCATTTTTACTTATTTTGAAACTGGTTGGAATACACGAACATTTACAGTTTCCTTTCTTTTGTATTTCTAATTCATTCTTCATTTCTAAGATTTTTTTACACATTGGACAAGCAAACTCAATAACTGATGTTTCTTTAACAATTTCTTCATCAGTCGAAGAAACAACTGGTTCAGTCTTGTTCTTTTTCTTTTTTCCCATTTATATTAATATTCACATTTTTATTTTTGATATATTGTATAACAAACTTAATTAATTCTAAAATAAAATAACATATTTTTTTGAATCTATTATTAGTTATAACAACCCGTTCTATATTTTCTACTTCATTTATTATATCAATATAATCTGTATAACTCCTTTTCATATTA